TTGACAGCAGACCTGAATTCCAATCCTGGTTTGGAAAGTGCATGAACATGGAGAAAACCACTTCCACCTCTAGACTTTAGTTTCTTTATCTATAAAATGATATTGTTGAATTAAGTGACTGATAAGGTCCTTTCCAAGTCTAGCTCTATGACCCATGAACCCAAACTAACTCTGGATGTATGTTACTGCAGCGGGAAGTGACTCTGGTGGTAAAGAGTTTTCACCATGGCATGCTGAAAGTATCATTGGACTGAGGGTAAAGAGTACTGGGCTCTGCTGCTAATTCTTCTTTTAAATTTTTCTAAATTAATTCCTTTTGTCATTTCTTACTGTGTACCATTCCATCTATTCCTATACCATAATTTGTCCAGACATCAATAGTAACAATAGCTAACAATTACATAGCGCTAAGGTCACAAAGTGCGTTACAGACATTAATTCAATTCATCCTCACAACAACCCTTCGAAGTAGGTGCTTTATGATTCTCATTTTACAGTTGAGGAAACTGAGGCAGACATTGGTTAAATGACTTGTCCAAGGTCACAGAGCTGGTATGTGTCTGAGGCAGCATTTGAGCTCATGTCTTTCTGACTTCAAGTCTAGTCCTCTATCCACTGCATTACTGAAGGTGCCATTTCCCAATTAATGTATGCTCATTTTATTTCTCTTTCTTTACCATAACAAAAAAAAATGCTGCTATAAATATTTTTGTGCAGATGGGTCCTTTTCCTCTTTCCTCTTTTGCCTATGCATATTTCCAAAGCCAGATAGTATAAAGAATAGCCGAGGAAGGGAGGAAGAAGAATAACAATGGAGACACTCAGATATTTACAGGATACAAAAAAATCCAAGAAAGGAGCTGTTAGTAAAATCCAGTCTCAAATGTCTGTACAATAATACTCAAAGTTCACAAATAAGAAGTTAGAGATCGTAAAGCTAGGGGACAAATGGGACCTCATAGGAGTCCCTGAGATTTGGTGGAATGAAGTCAATGACTACACTATGGCCCTAGATAGGTATACCTTATTCAAAAGAAACAGGATGGCAAAATATGGGTTGGGGGAGTAGTGTGTATAATAATAATTATAATTTAATTAGCAGTAATAATAGCTGGCATTTAAATAGTGCTTTAAGTTTGTAAATAACTTTACAAATATTATCTCATTTGACCTTTGCAACACCCCTGAGAGGAAGGTGCTATTATCTCCATTTTTAGAGATGAGAAAACTGAGGCAAATAGGGGTGAAGTGACTTGCTCAGGCTCATATAGCTAATACGTATCTGAAGCTAGATTTGAACTCAGATCTTTCTCACTCCAGGCCCAGTGCTCTATCATCAACTGTAAAATGGGGATAATAATAGCACCTACCTTTTAAGATTGTTGTGAGGATCAAATGTGATGTTTACAAAGTGCTTAGCACAGTGCCTGGTATGCAGTAGGTATTATATAAATGCTTATTTCCTTTCCCTTCCATCAGCTAAGTGCATCATTAAAGAAAGTATACTTGTATGAAGAAATCCAGGAACTAAAGAGGGAAAATGTGATGGAGAAGTAATTTTTGTCATTTGAGTATATTATATACCAGCTGGACAGAAAGAGGAAGGAGATGAGGAGTTTATGAAACAGACCACAAGTCTGACACAGAGGCACTATATTATATATAGTAATAATGGAAGAATTTGATTATCCAGACACCTACTAGAGAGCTTTCCGTAACAAAAGCAAAGTAGTTGATAACCTTTTCTAAATTAAATTTTGTCTTATTTTTAAATAAAGATTTGCCTTCCCAACCTCCCATCTTTCCTCCTTCCACTTCCCACCCCCAGAAGCGAAACAAAATGAAGCAAAACAAAACACCTCTATTACCAATATGTATAGTCAAGCAAAACAAATTCCCACATGGGCCATGTCCAAAAAAACCATGTCTCAGTCTGTACTCTGAGTAGTTCATCACCTCTCTATCAGGAGGTGAGCCAGCTAAGGACTTCTTAACTTGTCTTAGTTACAAGTTCATCCTTCAAAAGATGGAGTAACCAATGAGGGGAAATCCTATTGTAGATATAAATTTTACTAATAGGGAATAGTTGCTGGGGTGGAAGTGATGACAACCATAGGGTGGGGGGTGAACTGGCCACACCATCTTAGAGTTTATAATGTTGTTATTGCTATTCAGTCATTTCAGTTGTGTCTGACTCTCTGTGACCCCATTTGGGGTTTTCTTGGCAAAGATACTGGAGTGGTTTGCCATTTACTTCTCCAGCTAATTTTACAGGTCAGGAAATTGAGGTAAACAGCATTAGGTAACTTGCCCAGGATCACACAGCTAGTAAGTATCTGAGTCCAAATTTGGACTTAGGAAGATGAGTCTTCCTGACTCCAGGCCTGGTACTCTATCCGCTGTACCACCTAGCTGCCATAGACTTTATAACAGAGGAGAGGAAATCTGGTTATAGTCTGACGGTACTCAAGATTTTGAAAAAAGCAAATTTCAAAGGGATAGAGTCACCTGGCTTGAGATGAACTGTCCTTGGGTCTTGAAAGAACTGGAAGACATGATTACTGAGCCACTGTCAGTGATATCCTAAAGATTATGGAGGTACTGCAATATTGGAGAAGGTCAAATGTCCCAATTTTCAAAAAAAGAGAAGAGAATAGAGTCTGTGAACTCTAGTCCAGTGGGCTTGATTCCAATTCCTGGAGAAATTCTGGAGAGGATCATTAAAGAAATGGTGAGTGACCATCTGAAAAAAGGAAACAGAGGTTACATAGCTTCAACAAAAAAAAGACAACCAGACTAATTTCATTTCCTGTTTTGACAAGATTATTAAACTAATAGATGAGGGGAATGCTGGACATATAGCTTACCTAAATTTTAGCAAAACTTTTGAAAAAGTATCTCCGGTTATTTTTTGTGGAGAAGATAGAGAGATAAGGAGTAGGAGATAACACAATCAGATGGATTCAGAACTGGTTGGAAGACTAGACTCAAAAAATAGTTGTTAATAGTTTGATGACAATGGCAGGTCTCCAGTGGGGTGCTCTAGAGATCAGTGCTTGGCCCTGTGTTGTTTATTTTTTAATTTTCTTTCTTTCAAGCAATTGGGGTTAAGTGACTTGCCCAAGGTCACACAACTAGTAAGTGTCTGAGACCAGATTTGAACTCTGGTCCTCCTGACTCCACAGCCAGTGCTTAAGCCACTGCGCCATCTAGCTGCTCCATGCCCTGTGTTCTTTAACATTTTTTATCAGTGACTTGAATAAAGACATCCAGTTTGCAGATGACATGAAGCTGGGAGAGAGAGCAACACAGTGGTTAACAGAGGATACAAGAAAGGATATTGAGATGCTAGAGTACAGGGCTGAATATAATGAGATGCATTTCTTTTTTTTTTTTTCAATTTCATTTTTTAAATGTTTTATTGATGCAATATTCTTTTTTTAATGTCATTTCCTATTGACTTCCCCAATAGAACCTTCCCTTGCAAACAAATAACAATAACAATAATAATAAGCTGTTATTTCTATATGGCTTTAAAGTTTGCAGAGCACTTTATTATTTTATTTTTTTATTAATTTATTTTGATTTATCAACAATCACTTCCATATGCTTTTGAGTTGAAAAATTTTCTCCCCCTTCCTCTCCCCCACCCTCCCCAAGACTGCACACAATCTGATATAGGCTTTACATTTACATACCCATTAAACATATTTTCACATTAATGAAGTTATAATTAAAAATTAAAACCAATAGGAGGAACCATCAGAAAGATGAAACAAAACTCAACAGAAGGTAAAAATAAGTGATAGTGATTCGACTTTCATAGTTCTTTCTTTGGATGTGGACAGCATTTTCCATCCTGAGGCCTCTGGGGATGTCTTAGATCCTTGTAATGCTGAGAAGGGTTCAGTTTAACAATCTTAGTCATTGCATAATGCGGCTGTTATTGTGTACAAAGTCCTCTTGGTTCTGCTCACTTCACAAGGAGATGCACTTCAATAAGAATAAATGTAAAGTCTTGCATTTGGGGACCAAAAAACCCAAACCTTCAAAAGTATAAGATGGGAGACACGTGGATAGATAGCATTTGTTCTGAAAAAGATATGCATGCTTTAGTGAACTGCAAGCTGCAATAATTCAGCAGTGTGATGAGAAAGCCAAAAAGAGCTAATTTGATCTTGGGCTGCAATAAAAGGTGTAAGCTTCCAGAGTGTGTGTGTGTGTGTGATGGTGGTGGTGGTGGTGGTGGGGTCCTGCTGTGCTCTGTCCTTATCAGACTTCATCTGATAGAAGGACGTTGATAAGCTGAGGGCAGCCAGGATTGTAAGGGACCTTGAGCTTATGATAGAAGGTTCGGTAGGAGCTGGGTATGGTTAGCTTGGAGAGGATAAGACTTAGGGGGATAGAACAGCCTCCCGTGTGAAGGAGGGATTATACTCATTCTGTCTGGCTCCAGAGGACAAAACTAGAAGGAAGAGCGAGGAGAAGTTCAAAGGCTAATTTAGGCCTCTGTGTCAGGAAAAACTTCCCAATGATTACAGCAGTCCAAAAATGGAGTTGCTTGAGAGGTGGTGAATTCCCTCTCCTGGGAGGTCTTCAAGGAGGCTGAACAACCCCTTGTGAGGTATGTTTTCTTTTTTTTGGTTTTTGGAGGTAATTGGGGTTAAGTGACTTGCCCAGGGGCACATAGGTAGTAAGTGTCTGAGGTTAGATTTGAACTCAGGTCCGCCTAAACCCCAGGGCAGATGCTCTTTCTACTTCACCACCTAGCTGCCCCTGTCAGATGTGTCTTCATGGGAATTCCTTTGGTATATAGGTTGAGCTAGATGCCTACTGAGGTCTCTTCTGGCTCACATTCTGTGTTTCTGTGATATTCAACAATGAACTATGTATCTACTATTTCAAAATCAACTAAAGGCATGAAAATTGTAAGATCTCATTGTGTTTGTTGCTTGTTGATTTTGAAGAGGTTTTTAAAATAAAGCACGTCTGAAGGAAGGACAAAACACCACTTTCCAAGTGCTTTTATAGCAAGGTGCCTCCAATTCATACATCAAGACTTCTTGGGAGATATCACAATAGAAATAATCCTTTTCAATTACCCTATGACAATAAATATCAACCAGAACACAAAAGAGAAAGATCTATGTTTGTCAATGTATTCTCTACTCTGATTTGGGAGATCCGGTGCAGAGTTAAAGCAGAAGAGAAATTCCCTGGGGGTGGTGAGGTCCTCCAAATGCTCTTTTTTTTTTTTTTTGAGGATGACATTGTGCTGCTTACATCAAACCCGATAATACTGTAGTGTCTCCTAGAAGAGAAACATAATTATTCAAAGGAGTTTGGCATATTCATCCACACAGAAAAGACCAAGTAGATGAAATACGTCTGCTGACCAGATTTCAACATTCATTTGGTTGAACATCCTATAGAGCAGGAGTTCTTAACCTAGTTTGTGTCATGGAGAACTTAGGGAGTCTGTTGAAAACTATGGGCTCCTTCTCAGAATAATGTTTTTAAATGTATAAGATAAAATATAATAAAATAGGATTGCAAAGAACACTAATTACGTTGAAACAAAGATGCAATGTTTTTCAATCTAATTTCATGAACCTCCTGAGATCTATTTATAGATCCCAAAGAACACCAGGTTAAAAACTACTGATTAGAACTTATCCAACAGTATGTATATCCAGGACAGACAGTGCAGATAAACAGTGAGTTGTGCCCAGAATGAATAGGAGGAGAATGGGATGGATTGTTTTCAGAAAACTGCAAAGCTCTTTTATTGACCCAAAGCTTCTCATAAAAGCAAAGTCTATCTCTTCAATATCAACATTTTACCATTTTTTACTGTACGGTCGTATAGTATGTAACACCATTTCCTCTGAAGAACTAAAAACTTTACAGAGAGAAACGGAGTGATAAATGTCGGACGTGAACAAACTACAACATAGGATCAAGGAGGAACTTTAAAGAAGAACAAGAATAAAAAATGTCATCAAAGAATCGTATGAAAGAAAGAGAAGATTGGCTGGTCATTTGGCAAGAGCAAACTGCCATGCCCTTCTCGTTATTGTAGTTTAGACAATTAGTCACATCCAACTCTCCCTGACCCCATTTGGGGTTTTCTTGGCCAAGATACTAGAGTGGTTTGCCATTTCCTTCTCTAGCTCATTTGATGGATGAGGAACTGAGGCAAATAGGGTTAAGTGAGTTGCCCAGGATCACACAGCTAGTAAGTGTCTCAGGCCAGATTTGAATTCAGGTCTTCCTAACTCCAGGGCTGGCACTTTATCCACTGCACAACCTAGCTGCCCCCACGGTGTTCTACCAGTAGCCTATAATGGAGGAGAAATTAGGGAAGACCTCTCTCATCTTGAATGAACTTTGGGGAGGACACAGGCTGTAGTCAAGTTGCAGAGAATAGGCAGGCATGGATGGATGGCAATCTGTGTCATTGGAAGGAACCGAATTGATGAGATCACAGATCATTAGAATATTTGAGTATAGAAATTGTATTTTCATAGATGATATATGTACATTTCTCTTAATGTAAGTATATGTATATGCATACACATAGACAGGTGTGCATAGAGATAAGGATTGAGGTAGGACCTGGACCTGGGATTTCACTGGTACAAGGAACTCATTTACCAATACATATCAGCGCCCTCTCTGAAACTTACAGTCTTAGAGAGTTGCACATACATACAACAGACATCTCCTGTTGTTAACAAGCAGGGGAATAGGCATCATCTCGTGTCACCTTAACAAGCCCCTGTACAGCCCATGTCAGCTCCCAAGTGGTAGTAAGAATGTCCTTTTTGCCCTAGAAACTGTGACTTCATTGGTAAAAGGAACTCCCAAGGGGAAAATTCCCTCTACCAGTGCAGATTGGCAGCTGTTGTATGACTTACTGTCCTAGAATAGACTTGTCTGTGGCACTTAAAGGTTTGAAATGATTTTCCCACCTTCACACATCCAAAGTGAGCAATGGTAATACCGCAATGCAAACACCTTACACCCCTTGAAGGGATTGAAAAGAGGAGAAAAAATGGTTGAAAGTCAACAAAGGCTTTACTATTTAAATTCCTCAAAAGAATGGGTAAAGTATATTTGAAAACAACCTAACTATAACCCATATTTTGAAAGGGCTTGGGGTTTTCTCCCTTGCAATTTCCTGGATCTTTTAAGTACAAGAAAAGAGAGGAAAGGAAGGGCCCGGAATTGAATTACTTGGCACACGAAGGCAGTAATCTATAATCATTCTATGTTCCACTGCGGAGAGGACAGGAGAGGAGAGAAGAGGAGAGGAGAAGCCTAATACTCTACTCTAATAATCAGGTATTTCATGAGGGTGTTCTGTATACCAAAGCAGAACATGACCCCTGTGCCCTAGGAGACAGCCTTCAAGAATTGCTGTGGACAAAACATTCATTACTTTGCACTGAACCTGTCAATTGGTCTTTCCAAAGTTAACTGGGCTGATTCTTGGATGACAGGCATAGTTTATCATTGGTATTGTTCTTGAAGTCATTCCAGTTTGACAGGACCTGTTAGAACCTGTATTCTACTGACATAGCCTTTCAGAATACAGGGTTACCTTCATATCATGAGGAGGTGCTGGAGGAGCAACTCAGTGGAAGACTTCTTAATATTTAATGAAGAAGAAAAGAGCAAGTAGAGAGAACACACAGAGAATGAGAAAAAAGCTTGGTTCTCTCCTCAGAAAACAGAGCATGAGGATTTAAATTATACAGGGAAAAGAATTTTAGAAGCAATATTAAGTAAAATGGAAAATGTTCTCACCTGTATGGAGAAAAGAGAAAAGACATCATAACAAATAAATATGAAGAGTTCACAGAAACTTGGGAAGACCATAGGAACTGAAGCAGAGTAAAGAGAATAGAGCCAAAGGAGAAATAAACCTGATAGCGAAGTCATGTAAACAAAAACAACATTAAAAAGGCAGCTGAACACTGATTGGTTGCAATGACCAATTTCAGCCCCAGAGAACTGATGATGAAACACACCTCTGTCCTCTCATTTTAGGAGGTACTGTGGATGTAGAATGTAGTGTATGATGTCGGACATGGCTACTGTATTTACTGGCTTTGCTTAAATGTCCTTCTTTGTTATGTGGTCCTTGGGCCATTCCTCTCACACACATGGGAACCCCAGGAATAGCTGCCCTAGGTTTAAAGTGCCATTATAGGCCCATATTTATCCAATATCATAGTTCATAAGCTCCCACTGATGCAACTGTTTTTTTTTTACCTAGTTAGCCAGCGGATGATATTATTTCAGAGAAAAGGCATTAATGAAATAGTATAGTTAGCAAAGGAGCAGTAGGATATTTCTCCCCATAAGTCTAGATCATTCTGTCCCACAAATATACACAGCATCATTGGGAATACTTGGGACATATGAGGAATAAGCCTGTAAGGAAAATGTGTAGCCAGGGTACATGCCTAGAAGGTCACATATACAGGGACCATGTATAGCCAGAGAACATATATGGAGGAGCAAATACATAGGGAGTACATGTGGCCAGGGCACATGTATGGAAAGCCAAAGGTAAATGTAATGTGTATAGCCAGTGAATACATGGGGAGGAGTGACTAATATCTTTGATGTTTTATGGCTGCCAATGTCTTCTGTTTTTTGGGGAGGCTTTTTTGTTTGTTTGGGTTTTTTTTGGTTTTTTGTGTTTTTTGGCAAGGCAATCGGGGTTAAGTAACTTACCCAGGGTCACACAGCTAGTGAGTATTAAGTATCTGAGGCCAGATTTGAACTCAGGTCCTCCTGACTCCAGGGCCAGTGTTCTATCCACTTCGCCACCTAGCTGCCCTCTGCCAATGTCTTCTGGACCTGCCAAGTTGCTCTGGGCCAGATCTTTAATGGATGTCGTTCTCTGCTAGGTCTGCGTCTGTGTGTCCTGTCATGTTTCTGCTGTTCACCTACTAGGTAATAAGTCCACTTGTCTCATTGTCTCTGCTGGGCAGTTCTTCCTGCTACCAACTTCTGCATTTCCCTTCTTTAGGGTGTCCTTCCAAGCATCTGAGTTGCTAGGGTATAGTGACTAGAAGCCTCTCCCTGCTAAAGGAAAATTGACAGTTCTTTAGCTGTCTGGCTGTCTCATAGCCAGACCACACCCAGCAAACAGAAGTCAGGAAGAATGCTCCATGCTAGGGTTAAGCCCTTCATTCTTCAGGGTCTGTCTGGGGCTGAGATCAGAGGTGTTTGTTCCATATACCTAACTGATTTAGGGTTAGAAATTCCCAATTCCCTTCTCCGGCTTGTCAAGGAAATGGAGAATAAGAACGAAAGGGAACCAAAGGAGGCAAGATCATTATTTTCTACCCATCTGACTTGTATTTTTACTTTTTAATATGTATTTTAATCAATAGGAAACCCATCTAATTTTAGTTCTGCATTTTGGCTAGAGGAAAAAATCTCGCTATCATTCAAGATTAAAGAGAGCAGGTGTCTAAAAGATTTGGTGTAGTTGAATGAAAAAACTATACGAAAACAAAAAAGCAACAACAAGTCTTTTTAAAAAGGAAATAAACTTGTATAACATCTTCACTACTGCCTCTGAATTTCATCATTCTGTTTTGTGATTGAAGTGATTTCCTTCTTCCACTCTGCTTTTTTCAGGCTCGTTAACTCACAGCATCCCAAAATAATAGTACTTACATTCATTGATGAGGACAATACATAGGTAGAAAATGAAAGATTTTTCAGTCTTTCTATAATGATTTGTTTTGATCATGAGTGACAGTGTAACAACTATATTTAGACCAAGAACACCTCAGCCCCTGATGACCTATACAAGGAAATTGAAGATGTATTCCTTTAAAGATTAACCCCTTGGTCTCCCAATGGGAATAGAATGTTATCAATTGTCCATAGTAGATGCTGGGATATTGATGTCATATATGACAAATATATCCCTCTGGCCCAGGTCTCATCTGATAGATTCCTCAAGTAACTCCATGCTGCCTGGGTTGGAAAATATCTGCATCCAGGAACTAGGTATCAGGCACCAAGAACCCTCATTCTCCAAGGTGCTCTCCAATGAGCAGTGCTGTGTCTGTGTTGTACTGTAGGCAAAATGAAACTGTACTGAAAGCATCCATTAAGGGGAGAAGGTGATCCCCTATCCCGTAGGCAATAGGGAGCCACTGAAGGTTTTTGAGCAGGGATGCTATGATCAGACCTCTGGCACAATCAGATTATTTTGGCAGCTGTGTATTAGATTTATTGGAGAGAGGAATCAACATTCCACATTAAAGGTGACATAGG